GCGTTGTCCCGCGGCCGCATGCCCTGCCTCTCGTGGGAGCTCCAGGCGGGCAGGCCCCTGCCGGGCTGCCTGCGTGCTCTCCTGTGGCAGCTGGCCCCCAGCTCCGCTGAGCAGCCCCCTGGAGAATCACGCACCTGCGTGGCGGCCCTAGGCAGCACGGTGCCCCTGCTCCCCACCGAGCCAGCGGCTGCCCAGAGACGCTGCTGCCGTCTGTCCTGCTGCTCTCATTGGTCAGCTGCTGGCTCCCTCGCCTCCTGAAACCCTAATGGCAAACATGTGACCTTCAGAGACTCCCTCTATGGCTCCCTGTGGCCAATCTGGGCCCCCGCGGGGGCAGGGTGATGGGGCGGGTTCAGGTGGCGGATGCGTAGCCAAGCCACCTGGCAGGGGCTGGCCCTGTGCCCACCTCTGCTGGACGCCACATGCAGGGGCCCGTGGGGGGCCGAGCAGGGAGGCTGGAAAGGGCCGGGGCCGGACAGCTTCCAGGCGCAGGAAGAGGGTGTGCGCCTCCGGCTCGGGCACCTGGCTCCAGCGGACGCCACCCCGCCAGGGCAGGCCAGGGAAGCGCTTTGGCCTCCTGGGCACCGGTTCCGGTCGTTGGCATCTGGAGCCTGGCAGAGCTCCCTGGGCCCCCGGGGCCTTCTTTGGCCGGGAGGAGGGCGGGCAGACACCGCCCGGTCTCCTGGCCCACTGGCCTCTGGTAGGACTCAGAGACACCACCTGGCCCCTGGGACCTCTGTCCCGGGCGGTGGCCACCTGTGTGCATGGTCCCCGAGGAAGGCCAAGCCTGGGGCAGAACCGCACTTCCTTCGCTTTCTGTCCAGGCGTCCCCCACCCCCTGGCGCACCCCACGGCCTGCAGTGTTTGAGGACTTGGGCTCCCGGCCTGCGTGTCCTCAGCTCTGGCCTGTCGACGTCACCTGGAGGCAAAGGGGACAGTGCTCCGATGGAGCAGCTAATCCCCTGTGAGCGGAAAGAATTTGTCTTAATTTCTGATCAGGCATTTCCGCTTTTACGCTGGGCTTCGTTTCAAAGGACGGACTGGGAATCGCTCGAAAAGGACGTTGGCAGTGTGGCCGTAGTGGCGAGGCAGGTTCGTGTACAAGGCTCGAGGGCCGTCTGACCGCCCTGCCGTCACATCTTCCCTGTGGTAAGACAGACTGGGCCTGGCTTGAAAAACAGTATTTCCCTGCTTCGAGATTCCGCTTGATTCAAGTAAATTCGTGTTTTAGGAAGACGCGACATTTTCCGAACTGCTGCTTTGGGAGCCTCCTTCGGCGAAGGGGGGAGTTTCCCTTCTGCATGGGATGAGCACATGGAGGGGGGAAGGGGCCGGGAGCCCCCGCCGCCTGCTAGAGGGCCGTGCGGCCTGCCCCATGAGGGCACTGTGCGCCACGCAGGACACAAGGCCCCTCCCCGGTCCTTCCTCACCCTCACCTTCCCCTTGGCAAGCTCATAAAGTGTCTTTGTGTGGCAGAGAGAAAAGCCCTTCCTGGCCTGGCTTCCTTGCAGCCTGGGAGGTGCAGCTGCTGCTGAGGCGCTGGGCGCCAAGGACCGGCTGGGCCCAGCCTCACCTGCCCGCCCGGGGAGTGGGCAGGGACGGGCTGGGCCGGGGACAGGGAAGCGCTGCGGTGAGCAACCTGAGCCCCGGGGAAGTGAACTGCTTTCCCTGTGGGAAGGGAGCTTATTTGTCGCTGGGGACTCTCGCCTTCGAAGTTGCGTGTTTCACAAGGTGACCTTTCCATACCCAGCGTCACCAGTGTGCCTTAGAGGAGAACACCTGCACATAGACCATCACTATGGGCCAGGCAAGTCCCACAGCGCCTTCCAGCTGCTCTCTGTCTGCCAGTGGCTCACCTGGCTCCCCACCCCACGAGGAACAGCACGGTTTCTCAGGGCCCTGCTGCTTCCCCTTGGGGTCTGCTCGCTCTGGTGGCCGGGATGGAATGTCGTCGATGGCTGGCCGGTGCCAGGGCTTCTTTTGGCACCAGGCCACGTGTCCCTTCTCCTCTTGCTGCTGAGGCCCGGTACACCTTTCTCAGGGAGACCGCCTCGCGCCCTCTCTGCTTTCCCCACCCTGGGGAAGGCCAGCAAAGGCTCGTTCCAGCTGCACACAGCGCGTCGCAGGCTGCACGCAGCAGCCACCTGCCCTTACATGCCGCACCTGCGGAACAGGCTCCCTGCTGCAGGCGTGCGCTGAGGGGCCTGACTTCGCACTTCTGATACTGTGTGTGCACACACAGCCTCGCCTGCTGCACCCCACAGACCCCCTGACTGCCCGCTGACGCGCTGCTTCAGGCTCTCGATCCCTTGTAAGGAGCAGGTTTGCCGACCTCACAGGCGCAGCTGCCGACCAGGTGCTACGTGCAGGCGGGTGACTTGAATATTGTGCTGACACTCAAAATAGCCCTGCCTGTCCTTGTTAAACTCCTTCATAGTCTTTGGCCGTTCTGGAAATGTGAGAGAGGCTTTCTCAGCTACATAAAAAATCACCTTTCCTGTAAGGCTGGGGTAGTACTGGCTGCAGTTTATCAGGGGAGAGCGGAGGGAGGCCACCCAGCGGTCCTGCGCTGGCCCTCTCTGCCCCTGGTGGGGACGGCTGTGCGGATGCGGTGGCTGGGGGGCGGGGGGCGGCGTTATCGGAGGGGCCGTTCATCTCTCACCTACCAGGAATGCTTTTTTCAGGGAGGACCTGACTTGGTTTTGAGTTACTTGTCGATTTCCATGTCCCTTCTCTCCCTTGTCAAGATGCAGGCGAGCAAGGCATCGAATAAATGGGAGGCTGCCCTTCAAACGCACCCACTGAAGAAGGCTGTGCCTTGTCTGGTGGCAGAGCCCGGGGCGAAATCCTCTCGGAAAGGGGTTGGGCATAAACTTTCCCTCCCGTCCTCTCCGGTTCCCGCCTGAGGAGACGGGCGCTTCGCCAGGGAGACAGGGGCGGCCGTTCCATCCTCCCAGCCCCCTCCCCCCTTACATGTTCCCACGGCGAATGCTCATGTTCCCTCAGCGTGGACAGGCCTCCGATGAACCAACGTGGCTAAAATGAAGCCCCCGCATCTGGGTTTTCTTTAATGTCCAGCAGATGAAAGGAGTCCCTGTCCTTCCCTCTGCTGTCCTCCCGGCTCTAACGGGGGATTGGGCTTCATGAACAACTAGGAAACACATACTGCGTGTAAGCGAGCAAGTGAGCCCTCCAGGTCCTTCCCCGTGTCACCGAGCGCACAGGGGAGCTTTCTGCACCTGCGAGGCGAAGATGGGCCCAGGGTCATAACTTCCCAGGAGACGAGTCCCACCTGATTGAAGCGGAGGGGGAGGCTCGCAGCCGGGCGGTGCCGTTTCAGTTTCTGCCCAGCAGAAGAGAAAAGATGCAGTGCTGAGACAGAGGGTGAGCTCCAACATAATTTTTATCATAAATGTATTGCTTAACCCATTTTCTTTCAGGCGAGAAAGTTGAACTAAAAAAAAGAAGACCCGCCCGCCGGGCCTGGCTCCCTCCAGGCCCTCTCAGCTGCCCGCGGGCCGCAGCCCCCACGCGCCGTGACGCCGGCCCCGGCCTGGCCCAGCTGTCCTCCCGAAGTCCGGCCGAAGACTTTCGAGCCCCAGCCACTTCACTGGGACTCTCCCGAGGCTCTGGGGCCACGGGGGCCCCAGGGCTCTTTTATTAACAAACACATCAGACGAAAAAAGCAAAGGTCTGTAAATGTTTTATTTCCTGGACTCTTCACAGTGCCGTGAAACAAAGTTAGAGATAAAATAAAATGCCAGTTAAACTTGGCTACTACCAACAACCAAACACCTTAAACATAAAATTCAAAGCAAACAGCTGGCAGATGGTAAAATAATCGTGGACGGAGTCATTTGTTGATGCTTGTGAGGCAGAGACCCATCCTTCAGCTGCAAAGCGGCTGGAAGGCCCCGCAGGGCAGGGGAAGGGCGGGCGCCAACAGCTCCATCCCGCGCCACCGCCACCGCGGGAACCGCCGAGCGGCCCGCCGAGCAGAGGGCAGCGTGGGGCTCAGGTACCCCTGCTTGTCCTTTAAGGGCAGAGCGTTAATTAGCGACCGCACTTTCTGGCCCGCCTGCGGTTGAGAAAGGCTGCGTTGCCTATTTCGGTAAACCCAGCTGCCCAGGGCGCCCAAGGAGGCCGGTTTCTGCTTTGAAGCAAGCGCCAAGGTGGGTTATGCTGCTTTGAGGGGCAGGGCGACCAAACGGGGAGTCTTGAGTTCTGCACCGCCCTTCTAGGAAGACCCCAGGGTTTAAGAGCAGATCCTCTGCAACACTACGCCCAGTTATGGGATCCTAAAAAATCGCACTCGAAAAACCGGGTACCAAAGCGGACCCACTGCCCAAACCAGCGCGCCGGCCAGCGACCCTGGAATGTCCCCGCCGGCGCCCGTCGGGCCGCGGAGGGCGGTGCGTCTGCTTTGCCGGACACTCTGCACCGACTACCTGGTGTTTCTCCGTCTCCTGAGGTCGGGCAGCCTCCGTGGATACGGTTTGGCTGGTGGGTACAGAGACGCCTGTGACCTCCAGCGAGGGGCGGGCGCGGCCGCGGAAGGAACCCCTCCCCCGCCCTTGGAGCGCAGCCCTTTGGTCCCCTGGCTCGGCAGGTGTCGCCTCTGTGAGCTGTGGCGCTTGGAGCTGGCCTCCCGCCGCACCCAGGGCGAGCACAGCGCAGTAAAAGCCACACGACCCATGCGAAGCGCCCAACTCCAGGGAACAGGGCGAGAGTGAGGGAGGCGCGTACTTGCTGCCCAAAGCAGCTGGAATCGACCCGGAGCCCCCACAGCTCCGACGCTCCGTCGAACATCCGCTCGGGTCACTTTAGTTTCCCCGGGGTGGGGGCAGGCAAGGGGGCGCCGACAGTCCCCTCCTCTGGGAGGGAAGGCTCCGAGGACGCTCCTTGCTGGCCCTGCCGCCGTCCCGGGCGCAGGCGCGGGGGCGCGCCGGAGCCCGCGGCGGGAGGCCGTGCCGGGGCCGCGCCCCGGGCCGGGAGGGCGCTCACTTGGAGAACTGCGCCTGCATTGCGGCCAGGCCCAGGCCGGCCGGGACCAGGTGCGGGAACTTGCAGACGGCACAGCTGCAGAGGCCGGGGCCGCCCGCGCCGCCGCCCGGGAGCGCGAACTGGCCGCACGGCGGCTCCTCGAGCGCCACCGACAGGTACTTGGCGGGGCGCAGCGCGTCAGGCGGCCCCACGGCGCCGGGCGCCAGCAACACGGAGCCGGGTGCGGCGGCAAGCAGTGGCAGGCCGGCCAGCAGCAGGCGCGGCGCGGCGGGCCCGGCGCCCTCGCCCAGCGCGCGGCGCAACTCCTGCAGCGAGCTGCCCAGCAGCAAGATGTAGTTGCGGGCGAGCAGCAGCGTGGCGATCTTGGAGAGCTTGCGGCCCGGCGCGCCCTGACAGTGCGCCGCCGAGTAGGGCAGGATGACCTCGCGCAGCGCGTCCATGGCCAGGTTGAGGTCCTGCATGCGCTTCCGCTCGCGGCTGTTGATCTTGCGCCGCAGCTGCTGTTGCTGCTCCTCTTTGGGGTCCGCCCGGGAGCCGCCGCCGGCGTGCGCGCCCGGCCCCGCTCCCGAGCCCGGAGGGTCGGCGGGCGTCTCGGGCTTCTCGCGAGCCGTCTTGGGGAGGAGGGGGGCCGTGGTGGAAGAGGCGGAGGACGAGGAGGCGGAGGAGGGGTGCTGCCTGTAGCCCACCAGCTCGTACAGGGAGGCCCCGAGCTGCATGTCTCCCGGCCGCTGGGGCCGCAGCATGGTCGCGGGGGCCGCGTTCACGCGCGCCTGGGAAACGGCATAGTGCATCTGGGGTGTAACGGGGGCCGCCGAGGGCGCCCCTCAGGAACGCCCCGGGGTGGACCCTTGGGGAGACTGCCCCTCCCCGCGGACCTGCGCGCGGGGAGCCGACGGCAGGGCAGCGACCGGTCCCGGACCCCTTTAAACCCGATTTGGGAACCTGCGGAGCCCCGGGCCGCTGGGTGCAGCCAATGGGCGCGCGAGGCCGGGCGCAGACGCGTGCTCATTGGCCACCCGCCTGAAGCGGGCGCGGAGGTGCGGCTGGCACGGCTCAAGGAGGTTATTGTGAGCGCCCTGGTCACAGGACAGGCCGGGAGCGGGGACAGAGGGCGTCTTTTCCGGCGAAGCGCGGTTGTTCACGGAGTTCTGGTTGCACTGGTGAGGCTGGAACTCCTGTGCCTACCTCCTCCTCCTCTCTGCCTCGACTTCTGGGTGCACGTCTGTATATATGTTTATTGTAAACTGCAGCCAAAGACACACAACGGAAAATACACCATCTCAACCCTTTCTACGTGTGCCGCGCAGGAGCGTTAGGTTCGTTCACGTTGCTGTGCAACCGGCCCTCAGAACCCTTTTCCTCTTGCAAAACTCCAGGGGAACACTCCCCGCCCCCCGCCGCCCGCCCCCCCCCCCCCCCCCCGCCCGCCGTGTAGTCCCTGCCTTTCTGTCCCTGAATCTGACGACGGTCGGGGCCGCGTGTAAGTGGGGTCATAAGCACTTGTCTTCAGTGACCAGTGTATTTCGTTTAGCGCCATGTTCCTCCGAGCTGTCGCCATGTGTCAGAATCCTTTCTTTTTAAGGCTGAATGACGTGCGAGGGCCTCGCTCAGGTTCTCCACCGACGCCCGCGGAGACACCTGGGTGGCTTCCACCTTTTGGCTATTGTCAATCATGCTGCTCTGGACACTGGCACAACTTTTTTTTTTAAATACCTGATTTCCTCCAGGTTTTAAACATGCGTTCATCTCGCTTTCTGCCCTGTTTTGAGAGCGGAATTTCTGGGCGCGAGGACCCGCGGCCCTGGGGCGGCCGCTCCGCCGCGCCCTCTCGCCTCCCTCCGATGGGACGCGTTTAGGAACCAGGCAGCCGCTTGGTCGGGGCCTTTCCTCTCCCAAGGGGACAAGTGCTCATCTTATCAGTGAGGGCTCTTGCTTAAGCAGAAGCTCACCCAGAGATCGGCCTCTCATCAGGAGGAAACAAAACAAAACAAAACAAAACAAAACATAATTCGAGGGGCGGGGCCGAATCTTTCCCCACCCCCCACAGTGTCATTCCGTGGTGGCGAGGGGAGCTTTCTGCTCTGCCACCAGGGCATGCCTGCCGTCCTCTCATGGCAAAATGGCACCGGCCGGAGGGTGTCTGCGCCTCTGCCGTCCCACGAGGCACCGCTAAGGCCCGAGGCTGTTTAGGTGCAGTCAGTTGCAGTACAGCAGAGTGAGACACTGGGCTCCCTGCCGCACAAGCACCGCTGCGAGGGCTCAGCACAGCCAGCCCGAGCGTGGCCGCCTGCGCGAGGGCCCGCATGGAGATCGCTCTTGTCCCCTCAGGAGGCTCCACGGTGGAGGGCGGGGATCCCCCAAAGGAGGCGAGCTGCCGCGCCTCCGTCCTCTTCGGTGGCCGCGGGGGTGCCGTGCGCCCCCCACAGGCACCGAGTTCAGCCCCGGGAGCCGGTGGCTGTGCCGGGGCGTCAGGCCTGCGCCCCTGCGCGGTCCCCCTTCCGCCCACCGAGCTTTGTCTCCCAGGCTCCCTCTGGCCTCTGCTCCGAACCTGCTGGCTGCCAGTAGCGCCCTCCCCAAGCCTCGGGGTCTGCTCCCAGCTCCTTTCTTCTCGGAGCCTTGGGGGTTTCTCTCCTCCTCCGTTCTTCGCACGCGGCAGACCACTGAGCGCAGCCATCGAGCCCGGACTGCGCTCCCTCCAGTCGCCTCTGCACTGGCTGTGAGGGCCTCAGGCGGGTCCCCCGTCCGTCTCTGCACCCCCTGCAGCCTACCTTTGTGCCTCGGAACTGCTGTGTGCCCCCGGGTGTCCGAGCTCGGTCTGAAATCTCCACTAGTCCACGGCTCACCCCCGGGATGTGCCAGCTCCCAGCGGCGCATTAATCCACGAGTCTCCTGTGGGATCCATGGGGAGGGGGGACCTGGCAGGACCCTGTCACCCCCACCCTGGGGACGTGTCTGGTGTTGAGGGACCTGCCTGCCTGGAGGAGGGAAGAGGCCCGAGCAGGAAGGGGCTGTGCCTGGCAGGACTAGACAGGAGGGAGAACGACCCAGGAAGTAGCCTCTAGACTTTCTAGCAGGAGGTGAACCCCCTCACTCACTACCTCCCCTTTCCAAACCATTCACATGGCAATCCCAGGGGACTTTTAGGGTTGGCCCTGTGCCCTCGGACAGGAATTCCCTCCAGCTGGACCAGGCTCCCAGGAGGCTGAGGGGCCCCGGTGGGAAGGGCTGGGCACGGGGGAAAGGCAGGAGGGCCGAGGCCGGCCTAGAGCAAACCAGGACCCAGGAGGGCACAGGTCCCAGCCACAGCCCAGAAGAGAGGGTCCCCCGGACCCCACACGCACGGATGCATGTCAGCGCCCTTGGCCATGCCCACTCTCTCTTTGAGAGAGCCTGCGCCCCGCCAAGCCGAGGTGCTGGCCTGGGGAAGCCCCGCTGGCCCCCACCCAGCTTCCCTCTCTGCCCGCATCCCAGGCGGAGGCCCTGGGCCTTCCCCAGGCCACAGGAAGCAGAAGTGGCTGAGGGACAGAAGCCAACCTCCCACCGAGTGGCCTAAATAACACCCTGGACTTTTCCCATCCGCACAGCGGCAACCCCGGAGTCAGAGACGGAAGCAGCCTTGCGGCTCTGCCCCCAGTAGTTCCCCTCTGACTGGGGTGTCCCTGAGGGTCCCCCGGAGCCTTGGACCCCACTGCCTCTCCATCTTGGGGAGGGAGAACTCTGCCCGTCCCCGGCCAAGGACACCGTCCCGCAGACATGTGGGCCGGGGAGTATTTACGGGCTCTCAGGGGAGCCTAGAAGATGCTGCGGGCGGCCGTGTGGCCTGGCGTGGGCGCAGGGCTTGGCGCTTGTTGAAGCTGGTGACTTGGAGGCCCCTTCTCTGGACCGGAGCTCCAGCGGCATGCAAAGTGTGACGGCTGGCCAGCGCCAGCAAGTCATTACGGCCCCGGCAGGGCCCCGCGGGCGGCCTGAAAGGGAGGCAGCTGCCTGGCGGCTCACATTCAGGACATGCTTGGGGAGCAGCCGTGCCCGCCATAACAACGCCTTGTCTTGGCCCGATGGGCTGGTGTGTGTGCGTGCTGGCTCCTTTGCCCGGGCCGTGCGTCCCAGGCTTCCTTTTCCTCCTACAGAAGCCCGAGTGTCTCTGGCCCTGCCCCCGCCCCGCCCCGCGGCCCACCGCCCCGGCGCTGCGGCCCGCCAGGCATGGGGTCAGGAAGCCCAGGCTTTCGCAGTGGCAGGCAGTGGGGGCCGGCAGCCTGCGGGTCCTGTGAGGGGCGGCCTGTGCCTTGGACGAAGCGGTCCGCCTGCTCTGTAAGCACAGACAGGCAGCGCCCCTGCGGTCCTGTCCCTCCGCCCAAAGGCCCCCCCGTCACCCTCGAGGCCGCCCTGCTGCAGAAGGTCAGCTGGGCGGGAAAGGCCGTCTTTGCTACCACGTGCTGCTTAATCGGGCTGGAGCCTGGACCTGTCTTGATATAGCGGAGTTCGCTTTTTAAAGTGCTGCTTTCTACTAAGAAGGGCAAAATCCTGTGGAAAGTTTCGGGAACCCAGGAGGCGCTGCAATCCATGCTGTCGCTGGGAGAAGTGGTGGCGGCCGCATCGAGCGCTTGCCCTAGATCAGGTTCCTGCTCCGTTCAGGTCCAGCCACGTCCGGAACTCGGGGTAGGCGACCAGCGTGCGGCTGCCTTCCGGGTGGAGGGGAGGGCAGTGGGGACGGGACACGGGGCGGGGGGCGGGGCTCGCCCTTTGGCGAGTGTCCTTGGACGGCATGGAGCTCCTCACCGACGTGAGGTCCCCTCTCACCTGGGACCACCTTGACGGCACCTGAGTCACTCTTAGAAACAGCCCCCGCGAAACTAAGGTTCCTGCTGGGAGGGCGGGAAAGAATGGGAATGATGTTCCTTTGCAAAGGGCGTGCAAGTTAATCGAGTTGTTATGAACTCGTACAACATGTATAGTCCTTTCCAGTGTTGTCTCAAAGCTCCCTAATTGCCACCGTTGTCCTCATTTCCAGTGTGGCAGGACACAGGCAGCAATGGAAGCTCCTCTGTTCTGATTAAAACACCGAGGAGTATCAGATGCAGCCGGCATGTTTTTAAAATATTATACAGAGGGTTATTCTCTTTTATTTTACATACCTGTCACTGGGACCTGACTTTAATAGTTTACTACTTACGATTATTTCTAAGTCCAGATTTGTCCTGTGGATTTTTTTGTTTCATATGGAAGAAAGTTAAAAGTAGGGAAAGAAATTGGGCGGCATTTGAGTATTTTTTCAGATTTTTCTGTCCTTACGCACTCAAAGCTCGCCCTGGCTGTCGGTGACAGGGCCCGAATGCAGGGCGCCCACCGGACAGGGACATCTCATCGCCTCGGGGTCCGGACGCTGATGGCGCACTGCTCGTTCGAGTTCTGTAACGGTGCTGTTTAATGCCTCCCACCCGGTATCCGGAATGGAACCTCCTGCAAGAGAAACTTCGCATAATCATTGAGAAAAGCATTAGCGAAAGGGAGGGACAGCTTTTTGTTTCAGAGCCGATCAGAGACGTTCCTGCCGCACCAGACCGGAAAGCACGTTGGCTGAGGCGCAGGCCGGGAGGAGGCCCTGCGGGCACAGCGGGGAGAGGGACGGCAGCGGCGGCGTGGCCATCGGCGCAGGCCGCCAGCGGCCTGGAGGGCTGGTTTGGGGCAGAACACAGATATTCTCTGAGTCCCCCTGAGTCGGAGGCTGGAGCCAAGTGTTCCAAAGGGTTACACCAGCACAATGAAAAGGCACAATTTGCTTGGAAGGCTGTGGCTAATTTATAACACAATGTCCAATGTCATGGTTAGTTTTGTTGCAAAAATTTGGCAGTTTAACCCAGAGTCTCAGGCAGCCTGAAAAGA